CCCTCGCCTCCCCCGAGTCCTGGTCCCCCATCCCCCCCTCCCACCGCGACACCCGCACCCTTATCCAGTCCATCGGCGACGCCTACTTCGACCGCTTCTCCAACGCCTCTGTCACCGTCCCTTGGGGGCCCCCTTGTGTGCGTATCGAAGGCGGTCTACCTGCTCGAGGGAACCTCACGGAAAACGGGGAGTGTATCCAGGTCTGGCCTAGGAGTATTACTACGCCCTATAGGAGATATGTGGTTGATGAGGTGTATGGGGTTGTGAGTTTGTTTGTGGGATTTCCGGGGTTGGATAGGACGCAGGGAGATGCGGCGATGGCTGATAGTCATGTGTTTCGGGTGGAGGGGGGGCGGATTAGGTATTTGCATACGGCTAGTGTTTGTGTGGTTGAGGGGTGTGGGTTGAATGGGACTTTTGGGGGAGGGTTTAGATTGTAGATTGTAGGTTGGAAATTGTAGATGGTTGCAGGTGGAGGGTTGACTTGGGTGTTGATGGCTTGGTGGGGGAAGGACTGATGGTTTTCTTTTGGGGAGGGTGTTGGGAGGTTTGTTGATACTGCTCATCTACGAGTATGGGATGAAAAGCTAGGAAGTAGATTATTTGAATGTTAATACTTGCAGTAAAATTCTTCTTCGCGAGAGATATTAGATGTAGAAAACATCTTTGCCTCACTTGTCTAAGAAGGCCTAGCTAAGCTATCGTCCCACCGGCCAATGGCCATAAACAGACAGCAAAAACACCTACCGTACCACAAGTCTTAATACCCATTCAATCTCATCAAACATCCAAAGCCCCTTTAAAATCCGCATCAACACTCCACCAGAGCAATTACTCTACTAGCAATCAGACAAGCTATCCAAATCTCCTCGAACACACAAAACCAAAAAACCCCTCTTTCCCCCTAATCAAACTCTTCATCTTTCAACACCGAAAATCACTCCCCAAGCAAGAAAAATATGAAAAGGTATTATACTAAATCACCTCCCACCCATAGAATAGACATCACGGCCACAGTACAGTATTTCTGCGTGTTGAGAGTGGATTCGTAGGTAAGTACTGTACTTTATGATTCGCGTAATTGGGAATTGGGAGTTGGGATAGGGGGAGGGCTGTGGGTTGTGGGTTGTGTTAAACGAGTGTGAGAAAAGGGGTTAGGCGAAGCGAATGAGAATAGAGAATAGTGAACAGAGAATAGAGAATAGAGAACAGAGAATAGAGAATAGAGAATAGAGAATAATATCCTTGACGAATCATGCTTCGGGATCTAAGCGTGTTTCGGTCTGAGGATTGGGGTATATCGCGATTATATGGGGTGGTATAGGGGTGCTGTGGTGTGGTATGGTATGTTCTGGCTTGGATTTGATGGAGTGGTTGTTAAACTAGGTCTTTGGGTTCCATGGGGGATGAGGTGGATGTGGGGTGAGTGGTCGGGCTTTTGATGAGTGGGTTGGAGAAGTGTGTTGGATTGCTGGGCAGGTACGAGGAAGTTTTAGGTTCTTTTAGTGAGGGGTTGTTAAGGGGAGATGAGATTGGTGGTGGAGACTGGGAGAGTGGGATTTGATGTCCTGAGATGAGGCTGATGATGTGGAATTTATACTTGCGCTCAATTAAGGCCCATCTCACTATCTAATTCTGGTGGCTAGCTTGGGGATGGTGGAGGGTTAATAAGAAAAACTGCTCTTGCGAGCGTACAACAACAATCAGTGGATTTGTTGTTGTTGTTGTGGACTTGTGATCGAATAGATCAAACGATATATGTAAGCTTGCTTAGTCACCCTCGATACGCAAAACACATCCTTTGGGTGTTATAATGGTGAATTGAGTACGGTCTATAGACGAATTAGTCAAGATAAAACAATTAGGTGGACGAAACTCTGGAAACGCCTCTCTTAAAAAAAATCCTTCCAAACTCTCATTCTAGCAAAGAAAGAAGAAAACAATTCTCCAATCGCTTTACTATAGGATACATAAAACCAATACAACTATATTTTCATCACCCTAACTTAATAATTAATTTGCGACAACTTACCCAGGTACAATTCAAGCCATGGTTCTAGGAATTCCTGTAATAGGGCGCTAATGGTGTGTCCATGTCCACATATCTGATCTCGACCAAGCGTCTTACTACCGTAGTAACTCTCTCCTTCATACTATTCTCCCCACCTTACCTCATCAAACTGCTCTTATCTTGCAAACAAAAACTCAATTCATACTTCCTCCTATCTCCTCTCCTCTCCTCTCCTCTCCTCTCCCCTCCTCACCTCTATACACCCCACACACCTACAAACCACCACCACCACCACCACCAAACGTATCCCCTCAAAGAACCCTACCCTATATACTACGGTACTATAGCTCTATAATACCTTAACTTCTATAATTCTAATCCTACTAAATTACAAAAACTACTGTCGAAATCGAAATCGAAAATTCCTATAAACCTTAGTTAATACATACATAATAATATAACGATATAGATAATAAGTCTTGTAAGAATTAGAAAAGAAAAGAATTTAAGAAAGATACGCTATAGAGTTAGATATAGAAGGGGGAGTAGAAGGGGGAGTAGAAGGGGGAGTAGAAGGGGGAGTGGGAGTAGAGGGATGTTTATAGAATTAATAAGAGAGGGTTTATTAAAGTTTGGTTTATTATAGTTAGCGTTTGATAACTAGAATTCTATTCTATTCTAGACCCCCCCTCTAGAGTTATCCCATTCTATTTAGAGATCCTATAGAATAATTCCATTCTATTACCCCTATTCTATAGAACTCTATAGAATAAAATCATATAACCCGGATAAAAGTCCTTCCGCTCCGTTAACTAATAGGAAGCCTCGATTCTGCCCGTACGTAAAAGGCCGCTCTACTAATAGATAGCTTACGTTACCCCTTCCCTTATATATAACTTATTACTTATAGGAAAGGTATAACTCTATAATCTAACTCGCTAAGCTAATTAGATTATTCGATTTAGGTAGAATAGAGGGGAGGTATATTAGAAAGTAATAAGGGGGGCGGGGGGTAGCTCTAGACCCTTTACTTAGACTAGGTATAGAGTTCTAAAATACTAAGTAAACAGGGTCTAATTAGTATTCACCCCTCTTAAATACTATTCTATAATTAGTTAGAATAATAACCTCTGGAATTCTATTTTCTATAGAACTCTAGAGGGTATTTAATATTCTATTCTATTCTATTTTATAGGGGGTCTGGAATTATTCTAGATAGAATGGAATATGGAGATTCTATGGAATATCGTTCCAGACGCCGAACGCTGATTATAGTGTACCTCAGTCTTAGTAGTTGAATTGTGGATAGCTAGGTATGTAAGTAGGTAGGTAGGTAGGTGTGTATTGTATGACAAATTTATATCTCGTATATATATACATACATACATCTTCAACCGCTTGTGATATTACCGCGCAGATCTATCCATCCATCTATTTAGGTAAGTGTGAGGGTTGGAACCCATGATGGAGGCTCGGGCCATGCCCTCGCTAAGCACTGACCAAAGTCCCCGCTCAGCATTGGCCATTGCTCCACTGCTAAATTGGTTTCTCCTTTTCTACACTTTTCTACTCTATTCTTTTGACGTCACGTATTTGTCAAACAGTTTCTTGGAAGACTCCAGAAACTCTTCCCCTCTCTATATATAGAGGAAGAGATTGCATGTATGTAGTCTTCACGCACTTCTTAACTGAATATTCGAAACCACACCTTTGAGCTATTCGAGGTCTGGCCTCTCACAGTAAGTTAGTAAGTAAGCAAGCAAGCAAGTAAGTAAGCAAGCAAGTAAGTAAGCAAGCAAGTAAGTAAGCAAGCAAGTAAGTAAGCAAGCAAGTAAGTAAGCAAGCAAGTAAGTAAGCAAGCAAGTAAGTAAGCAAGCAAGTAAGTTACAATCCTAACCTAGCCACGCTACCCAACCCAACTCAACTCGCCCGAGTTGAGTTAATAGAGTAGAACCAGCACATTCACATTCACATTTAAGTATAGTAAGATACTATATAAGAGGGCTGGCTGGCATAGGAAAAGATCTACAAACTACACCGGTAGATAGATAGATAATCCTTCCCCCTTCCTGCCCTTTCCAACTTCCTTCTTCCTTCTTCATACATAATAACTTCGGTACCCAACCTACTACAGGTCCTGATAGAATCTTCACGCCCGATATTTTCAGTTAAAGAAGGAATCCTCGGGTAGATGATCTGTCTCACTTCCTGGATGCTAGAGGTGGTTGATAGCAATGCGATGAGATGCGATGAGATGAGATGAGAGGTGGAATGTGGATATGGATATAGCTATGGATCAGGGATCTAGGGTTTCTTGATTGGGCACCATTTTGTCTTTGCTAGTATTAGTATTAGTACTGTTGATCTTCTAGATGGGGTTTAGATGGGTGGTGTGGACTTCATGGAGGAGAGTGGAAAAGGAATATGAATATAGAGAGTGTGGATTTGGAGCCTGATGATTTACTAGTCGATTTTTTGGTTTTTGGTTCCTTTTTGGATGTGTTGGCGGGACTGGCGCTTGGTGTCTTTCGATCTGACGCGTGATATGACCTGACGCGTGATATCTTTAATAACGACCTAGGTAAGTAATTTAGGTCGTGACCTGGATGTGGCGGACTTTGATATTTGGACGTTTTGGTGAGGATAATCACTGACTCACGCTACAGATTCGGATTACTTGTATACTGGCGATACGTAATTATGCCGCACATAATATTAACATTGACCCGTTGGAGTTTGGTTGCCAAGGGCCAGGACGACCTGCCTTTCGATTCTCGAAGTTCAGATTCTGCCGGGCGTATTTCCCTGTCGTCATCCAGATGGATCTGTAGAGGATTTTCTGAAAAACATGAGATTCTGTAGGAGGAGGATGAGTGATTCCGATGTGAAATGTAGGATTACATGAGGTGTTCTGAGAGAGTTGTCGTACAGAGCAAAACTGGGCGTTTTTCGATACCAGGTTCCCCCTTGGAGGAAGATTTTGGTAGGCGCTCAAGTCGGGAAAACTGGATTTTTGCGATGAATTGCCACTTCGTGGATATTGTTTGTATGTATGCGAAGGAAGGGAGTGGTAGCGTTGGGTTGGGTTTCAAGACAGGAGATGGCTGATGGTTAAAAGATGCAGAGAGTGTGAAAAGGGAGAGTGATCGGCGGGCATCGGCGGGCATAGAAAAGGAATTCTTGGAACTGGTATTTGTTTGTTACAATATACAGTAGATGCAAGCAGATGGGGTGTACAAGTAAGTACAGTACAAGTACGATACCGACAGATAGTTTAAGGACTCTTGGTCTTGCGAAGGGTAAACTACTGACTGCTGAGGATTCCCGAAAAAGAATGTCCCTAGACAAGACAAGCTTCAAACGAAGCGAAGAGTACACAGTGGCAATGCCCGTTTCGACCAAGTCGTTGGGTTCCGGTTCGACGTGGGCGGGGCGGGGCGGGGCGGCTACTTTGAGCGATAACGTTCCTACTACTATGTTCCACTGTACTGGTAGGGTCTGTAGTGTAGTGTGGTGTAGTGTAGTGTACCAGCAACGTGTTCCTCTCCATTTAGATACATGTGGAAATGTCCATGTAGTGCGGAGACACTCGAAACTCTCCCCACACAGTAGTAGTCTCGGGCGGACTACTTTCGTCGGAACTACTTGTAGGCATCTGCAACCTGCAACCTTATACTTTGGATATCGAATGAAGCCTAAAGCAAGGCCCAAGGCCCAAGGCCCAAGGCCCAAGGCCCAAGGTCCAAGGAGGCCAAAATGAGCCAACGGGTTTGTGGTGGAGGCGAGACTTCTCACCTTACGATTGTTATTGCTGACATGTGGTGTTGAAGTGAATTGTGAGCTGTAAAGTAAACAATCTCTTGTGGCGCATGACAGCGAGAAGTTGCAGAGGGTCAGAGAGTACAGAGAGCGCGTAGAGTTGCAGAGAGTGCAGAGAGTTGTAGAGAGTGCAGATGTTTGCAGCAAATACTCCATACTGAAAATTACCCCTCGCCTTGGCCCCCACCTCTCGCAAGGTCGCAAGGTCGCAATATCGCAAGATCGGTCGCTCGCTCCACGCCCTTACGCTGTACGGGTACTCGATCCACGCCCTTACGCTGTACGGGCACTCGAGTACTGGGCTGGACTAATGGCACCGCGCCCATGGTGTGAGCTTGATGAAGAGGGCTTCAACAACGTCATCCGTCATTTACCTCGACGATGCGTGACTGGTGATGAGAGAGGACGCCCGGGCTGGGTGAGCGGTTATTGGGTGGATGGGCCGTAACGCATAACCCGACTTTTTCATTTTCTGCCCAACTCCACCGACTGGCAAATGCGACCTGGATTTCCCTTGGAGGATAGAATCACCGCTCCTTACAGCGTGCCACGCCTGCTGCGTGTTGTCAGTGTTCATTTCTTGTAGCCACCAGGACCCAGGTCTCCCGGGCCTTCGGTGCCTCCATCTCCTAAATCACCTAAGTCACCTAAATCAGCGTACTTGGTACAGTGCAGTCTCCGAGATGCTCAGATGCCGCCGCTCACTGGGCTCCGATGGCAACATCACGCACATCACGCACCACGCACACCAGAAGAATAAGGACACGGTACGAAGCACGGTAAACACGGTGACCACGGTGAACTCCCACCCAATGATGCCTGAAGTGCTGCACCGCTGCTTGAGCCTTGAGCCTTGAGCCCTGAGTCGAGGGCTGCTCAAGCAGACGGGCAATACCCGGACGCGCTTCAAGGCTGCCCATTCTCACGAGGGAATCTCCTTGAAGTCAAAGACGATTCTGCCGAGTAGCACATCACAATCCGAACCTTCATCCCTCCTCAGAGTCTCAGCACACACCCTAAACGGGATCCCATCCCATCATCCCACACCGTCACCGTCACCGTCCCATCCCATTGCATTCCATCCCTCCTTCCCTTCTACGATGCTGTACTGGTACCAGTAATGTACGCTACTAATACTAAGCTGCGCTGCCCTGCGCTGCCCTGCGTTGCCCTGCGTTGCCCTGCGATGCATGGGCACCTCATTCATGAAGATCTCTCTCCCCGCGCCCAGTATTGCTTCTACTATTCGACTTCTTTTTTTGTTGACGACCCCTCCATCTTCCCCCT